ATATATATATATATATATATATATATATATATAATATATATATATATATATATATATATATATATATATATATAATATATATATATATATATATATATATATATATATATATATATATATATATATATATATATATATATTAATATTATATTTGTTTATAAATAAATTTACACTATAAATAATGTCAAAATAAATAAATCATAAACAATTGAACATAACAATTTAAATAATGTCGAAATAAAAGAATCATAGACAATTGCAGATAAAAGTGTTAATAATGTCAATATACAACAAAACTTAAATATAAGATAAGAAACAAAATTTATGACATATACAACTATATAACATTAGTACCCCAGCCTTGAATAATAACAAATATAATATAATTTATACAAATTTACAATGACAAATAAGAAATAAAACAATAATTAAAGTTTCTTTCTCTGAACCTGAAGTCTCAGTGTCCGAGACAAAATATTTTGAATTTGTTGGTATGAAGTCTTCATGAGATTCAGATGCAGTGGAGTTCTTGAAGTTGAATAAGAACAAATGTTGATTAAGAAAGAGCTCTTAAATTATATTATAAAAAAAGAAGCTTCTACATTTTTTGTTGCTAGTGTTGGTAACTTTTCACTAAACTCTATATATCAAACAATCTTCAAAAATATCTATTCGGTTAATTTAAAAATACTTCTGAAGCTTAAATATAGCAGATTTAGTTGGATCTATAGCTTTATTCATTATCAGACTCATCATCTACTAAAACTGTGTCTATTGTTGATTTTACTGATGACTATTTACAAACCTTGAAATATTTAATTTTAATAATAATAAGTTATATGCAAAAATATATAAAAAACATAAAAATTTATCAAATATTTTAAAATGTATTCAGTTTCAGGTTTACTATGTACTAGTCTTTAAAAAAAAAGATGTTTACAAATTTGTTTTTAAACTTAAATGGAATTAAATTAAATTTTGTTTATTCCATATTTGTTAATGATTGTTAAAATCAATCAACATGTTTAATAGACTATTTTTTGACTTTACCTGTTCATTAGTTGATTCTAGATTAGTAGTACTAATTGTTGATTCTGCTTGAATATCAATTCCCCTCAGGATAGCTTAACAAAAAATTATAACTCGATCAAGTATTTAATTCAAATAAATTTTTGTTTTAACATTATTTAATATTGTTAAAACAAAAGTTTATTATGTGTAATTTTTGTTTTTAATTTATAAGAAAAAGTTCTATACTTACTGTAATATTTTTTCAAGTGAAACTTCTTTTATGGTTCCATTTTCTCCTTGAGTTATAATATTAAGCTCCATCTTGTGATTTTGGTCAAAAAGATATCTGAAATAAGGATAGTTTTACTTTCCGATACTTTGCTAGCGTTATCTAATGGACCAAACATTGATAAAACTTTAGGAATAAAATACCAGTCATTTAAAGTCAACTAAATAAATGAGATTAAAATAAATGTAAATATAAACTATATATGGTTTTTTAATCTTTATCATTTAACTTTGGTTCCAAGAAAAATCAGTGATAAACTTTGTTTAAATAATCAACCTATGTCAAGTCAAACTTTAAATTAGTGACCACCATTTAAAAAAATGAATATATTATATATGTAAACTGTTATATTAGGATCTTAATAATAACCAAAAATTAACCATATTCGTAAAATTTTTCTATGATTTATTTGAAAATAAATCTTTTTAAAACGCATGGTACTTTTACGGTCCGATGCTGGTTCCCTATTGGTGTTCCAACGTCGGGCAGCTGCTAACGGTTCGCTGTAGGTTTGATGTAGGCACGCTGCCGTCGGCATGCCAGTTCAAAGCAGCATTCGGTCCACTTTTGTTATGCCGACGTTGGCGCGCCTTGCAAGGCCCGTTTTCGGACCATCAATATTTAGCCAGCATCGGCGCGCCGCTAACGGACCATTATTACCATTCTCACTGGGAAGAGCCTACATAAAAAAATATTTTTCTGGCTAATAATATTAGTATTTCAGAAAGAAAATTGGATAATTTGCATAAAATGTATATAAAAACTGTGAGTTTTTGCACATGATTTTGTTATAGTTTTTTAACATTTCGGTGAATATCTCAAAAGCCGCTAATGGCGCCATCAATATATTTTCTGAAATATTTGGTATTACATTTCAAGGTTGCTTACAAATAATATAAACTACTAATATTAAGTAAACACCTAATAACAATGATTAAAATAGTTATAGTAATAATAATAATAAAAATATTTATAATAAAATAATGATAAATAATAATAATAATAACAATAATCTCTAAATATGAATACTGTAAAAATTCAATGTTCAATGTCGCGTTACGTCATCGTTTATTGTTTTTTCAAGTAGATTCTAGGCTTTTTTTAGAGTGCGTTTTTTAAGTACATGCGGTCCACTCAAAAGGTCTATCGAGCCAGACCTGACGAACTTCTCTTAACTTTTTAGGGAAATCATTTTTATATAGTTTCAATTTACATGTTTACTTAAGTTGAATTTTGCAATTTTTTATTTTAGAACGTTGTTATAAAATGATGAAGAGTTGTAAAGTAAAAATCTTATTTTTACTTTATAGGTTATATTTAATTTTATTAATTTAATTATTATAGATTAGCAAAAAAGAAAAATGAACGGTAAAGTTTTTATTTTAATCTTTTTCAAAACATTTTATTTGTTTAACATCAAAGGAGTCTTATTGTAAGGAAAAATTTAAACTATGTGAAAACTATTTGAACGATTTAAAAGATAAATAAGACTAATTAATAATCATAATAATAATTTTAGTTACATTTTAAGTACATTATCAAGTATATAGTATTTTTTTTTTTTTTCTGTTTATTTAAAGTGTAACTTTGATTTTTTGTTTTTTTTGGTTTACTATAATTTATTATTTTTTCATTTATATTTTGATTTATATTATTATTGTAAATAATATTTATTTCTATTTAGTTAACCACGGAGATGAAACTGAAGGTAAGTGTTGATTTTTTAAATATTTAAGTATAATTTATTATTTTTTCATTTATATTTTGATTTATATTATTATTATTGTAAATTCTATTTAGTTAACCACGGAGATGAAACTGAAGGTAAGTGTTGATTTTTTAAATATTTAAGTAGAATTTAAAATATTAGTAGTATATAGTAGAGTATTTTTGGAGTTGAATTTTCATTTAGTTGACAATGATGGGGAAGATGAAAGTAAGTTTTAAATTTTGTAACTATTTTAGTAGAACTAAATTTATATGTTAATGATAACTTCTGCCTAAAACAAGATGTTAATTGTATATATAATTTGTTTAGTTTATCATAAGCGACCTGATAAAGGTATAATCGTTAGTTAGCCAATTAGCAATTAATTTTGTTTTTAAAATTATTGAATTTTATAATATATGTCTTTAAAAGATTTTAATAAAAGTGTATTTAAATTTATTGTTTAGACAAAGCACTAAAGAAATACAGTCAGTATTTTTGTCATTAAATATTTGTTATTAGGATTTAATAATTTGTACTGTTTACTTTTAACTTGCTTTTTACTTTATAGGAAAATTGAAACTTAGACTAGGTATAAATTATTTTATAATTTTACCAATTGATAATTTATATATATATATATATATATATATATATATATATATATATATATAGACACACACACACACACACACACACACACACACACACACACACACACAGAGTAGTGATAGAGCCTTAAATTTAACTCAACATTGTTAGTTTATCCTAATTTAAAGATATTTTTTCAAATTACTGATTTGATTGATTTTTTTTTATGTCTTTGTTATAAAATTTTCAAGTTTTTTTTTGTTTTAGATGATTTTATGGAAGAAATGAGGAAAACAGGTAAAAATTATATTTAAATACATACATACTTTTTATTATTAACTATTATATGTTTTATAATTTTTAACATTAATTTTTTTTTAAGTCTCATTATTAGTGTCAAACTCTGTGACAACTGGTAGGGTTATGCTTTTTATTTTTTTGCAATTATATTGTAGATTATTAAAATACAAATATTACATTTGTTTTTTTTTTGTTGTTTTTTTTTTTTTTTCTATTCTACTCTTCTTCTTTTTTCCCTCTTTTTTTCAGCATCGTTCTCTGGTACTACTTCAACATGTAGGGTTATACTTTATATTTAAATAAAATACAAGTATCAACATGTTTAGTTTATATTTTTTTCATTTTTTAGCATCATCATCTGATATGACTGCAATTGGTAGGGTTATGCTTGATAATTTTATTTAAGTACAAAGATTAACATGTTCAGTTTTTATTTTACCCTACTTTTATTTTATTTTCTATTTTTTAGCAGTGACATCTGGTACTACTACAATTGGTAAGGGTATGCTTTATATTTAGATTAAAATACAAATATCAACCTGTTTGGTTTTTTTTTTATTCTACTTTTTTTTTTTCTCTTTTTCTTTAGCCTCACCATCTGATACTACTACAACTGGTTGGGTTATGCTTTATATTTTTATAAAAATGCAAATATTAAGATGTTCAGTTTTTACTTTATCTAACTTTTATTTTATTTTCCCTTTCTTTAGCATTGACATCTGGTAGTACTACTACAATTGGTAGGGTTATGCTTGATATTTTTATTAAAGTACAAAAATTAACATGTTCAGTTTTTATTTATCCTACTCTTATTTTACCCTACTTTTATTTTAATTTTTATTTCTTTAGCGCTGACATCTGGTACTACTACAATTGGTAAGGTTATGCTTTATTTTTTAATTGAAATACAAATATCGACATGTTCAGTTTTTATTTTATTTTTTCCATTTTTTTAGCATCGTCATCTGGTACTACTACAACTAGTAGGATTATGTTTTATATTTTTATGCATTTTTTTTCAAATTGCAATTTTATTCAAAATACAAATATGAACATGTTTGGTTTTTATTTTATTTTTTCCATTTCTTTAGCATCGTCATCTGGTACTACTACAGTTGGTAGGATTATGTTTTATATTTTTATGCGTTTTTTTTCAAATCGCAATTTTATTCAAAACACAAATACCAACATGTTCAGTTTTTACTTTATTCTACTTTTTTTTTCCTTCTATTTCTTTAGCATTGTCTGGCACTGCTGCAACCGGTAGAGTTATGCTTTTATCTTATTATTATTTTAAATGCAAATATCTATTTTTTTTATTATATTATTTTTTATTTCTTTAGATCTAAATTGGAGCAGCTACAGGCTTTATCGCTCCCAGCACCCAGGACCTCTTTCTGAGAGGTCCTTTAACAAATGGTGCTTTAATAATGGTATGGATGAGCCCTCATTTAAATGGAGAGCTCATCCATACAGGGGTGCTGGGAGGCACCAAGGAAAAAACAGCAACAAAAAAATTTTAAATATCTTTAATCAGTGAAGATATTTACAATTTTTTTGTTGCTGTTTTTTCCTTGGTGTTTTATTCTCAATGAAATAAATTTATAATTTTAATTTTGTTTGTTTTTATTTTTTTAGTATTTGTTTAGACTATTAATTTTTGACTAGACATTTAATTTTTGGTTCACAATATAACATGACTGTAATTGTCCCCAATATATATCATATCAGTTAAATCAGAAAAATGTACTATAGTAGATAATTAACTGTAAAAAAAAAACCACATGTAAATTTCTAATATTTTAAAGTTTATAATTTGTTGATTTTTACCAGATTTTATTTCTTTTCATTGTTTCGAATTCAATAGTTTAGTGTTTATAACTGCTTTTAACTTATGTTAAGCTTTAATAAATTTAATCTTCTAATTTTTATCTAATATAGATATTTTAATATGTAAAATAGATAGTCTTAATAATAAAGAAAAAAAAAAGTAAGTAATAAGAAAAAAGAAAAACAGATAAATGATCTTTTATATATTGAATTTGAATTTTGTCATGTTGCTTATTATATTATTGACATTTCAATGATGCTGTTAGATTTTTGTTTATTTCTTTAGAATTTAGAAAATTAAATTAAACTACAACTTTTGAACAGTCATTTCATTGTTTGTGAAGGTTAAATTATTTTAATATTTTTTAAACAATTTTTATATAGAAATAATTTGAAGTTTACAAAAAGGGTTTACAAATACTTTATTTTTTAATTTTTTTTTCTATTTTTTGTTTAAGCAGCACTTTTATTATTCAAATTTATTATTCAAATTTTATTATTCATTATTTTTTAATCCTATTTGTTATTTTTTTATTTAGATTATTATTATGAGTTAATTTTTTGTTTAAACATCTCTTACCAGATATATTTATGAAATTTTTTTTATAAAAAATGCACAAGATTGCTGTATAATTTAGTTTATTTTAAATAAAAATTTCCTGTCATTTTTTAAAAATAATTTGTATGTGCAATTTAGAGTAGTAAAAAAAAAAAAGATCACAATCTTCTGGATTAATTCAAGTTTTTTTGTTACTATTATCAATTAAAAGTAAAATTTAAATGGATGAAAATGATGAAAATGTTAATAGGCAAGTTGAAAATAATCGTCGCAGAAATGCCAGAAATAGGCTGAGGCGAGATGAAATTAATAATCAACAGAATGCTAGATATGCTGCTCGGCAAGCCGCAAATAATTTGAATCAAAATGAGGACAATGTCATTAGGCAAGTTGAAAATAATCGTCGCAGAAATGCCAGAAATAGGCTGAGGCGAGATGAAATTAATCATCTTCAAAATATTAGATATGCTGCTCGGCAAGCTGCTAATAATTTGAATCAAAATGAGGACAATGTCATTAGGCAAGTTGATAATAATCGTCGCAGAAATGCAAGAAATAGGCTGAGGCGAGATGAAATTAATAATCAACAGAATGCTAGATATGCTGGTAGACATGAAAGAATGCATTGTATAGCAAGAAGTAATACTATTCCAGATTATAATTATTTAGGAGAAATGAATCATATTTGTCAGCATTGTGGTGCTAAGAAATTTCCTGATGAAACACATTTTTTATGTTGCCATAATGGAAAGGTAGTTTTGTCTCAACTTTCACCATTTCCGCAAGATTTACAAGATTTATTTACAGGAAGTTATGTAGATCGAAATGCAAATGTGAATTTTCTAAAATATATTCGAAATTATAATGCCTGTCTTTCTTTTGCTTCATTTACTGCTAATGTAGTTCAACCCATGAATCATGGGCCGCCATGTTTTAGAATATGTGGTCAGGTTTTTCATCGTGTTGGTAATCTTAGGCCAGATCAAGATATTCCTCCAACATATTGTCAACTATACATTTATGATCCACTTGCAGCAATAAATTTTAGAATGCGACAACCTGGTAATGATCTTTGCTTAAATGATTTAATGTTTCGGTTGCAAACTGTTATTAGTGAGGAGAACCCATTTGCTCTCGCATTTAAAAACATGGCTGAAGTGGAAGATGAAGAAATTCGCCAAGCAGCTATAGAAGGTCGCTCAGTCTCAGTTGTAAAAATGTCTTTACTTGAAGGGCAAGATAGACGTCGCTATAATCTCCCTTCACATAATGAAGTTGCAGTTGTATTTGTTGGTGAAGATGGTGCTCCTCCTGCTTCCAGAGAAGTTGTTATTTACCCGAGAGGTCATCCTCTTAAAACTATATCAAGTATGTCTGCCAACTTAGATCCTATGGTTTATCCTCTATTTTTCCCAAGGGGTGATGCTGGTTGGCATAATCAATTGGTTCACAACCCTGAACGTGCTACATTGGTTAGAAATCATGTTACATTATCTCAGTATTACAATTATAGACTTTCGGTTAGACAAATTTTTTCTTCAATCTTTTATGGCAAGAAACTATTTCAGCAATATGCTGTTGATGCATATGTCAAAATTGAAGGCCAGCGCCTTGCTTTTATCAGAAATAACCAAAACAAACTTAGAAGCGAGCAGTATGATGCCTTACATGAACATGTAGACAACCTTGGAAACGATCATAATGTTAGAGTAGGGCGCGTTGTAGTTTTGCCATCTACTTATGTAGGAAGTCCTAGAGCTTTAAAAGAAAACTTTGAAGATGCTATGGCTATAATTAAAAAGTATGGTAAACCAGATCTTTTTATTACTTTTACCTGCAACCCAAAATGGCGCGAGATAACTGAAAATTTATATCCAGGTCAAACTGCAAATGATAGACCTGATTTAATTACACGAGTATTTAAACTCAAATTAAATAATCTCCTAAATGATATTTTTAAGCATGGTGTATTAGGGAAAGTCGTAACCCATGTTCATGTTATCGAATTTCAAAAGCGTGGTTTACCACATGTTCATATTTTACTTCACTTTGCCACTGATGACAAGCTGGAGACAGCACAGGATATCAATAGTTTAATATGTGCTGAAATTCCAGATCCAATTATAAATCGTGAACTTTATGATGTTATTAAAACTTGCATGATTCATGGCCCATGTGGCATACTGAATCCAAATTCTACCTGCATGAAAGATGGGGTGTGCAGCAAAAATTATCCTAAAGAATTTAATGCCAACACAGTAGTAGTTCATAATGGTTATCCTCGCTATAGGCGTCGTGATAATGGTTTGGTTATCAATATTAAAGGCAACAATGTAGATAACCGCTGGGTGGTACCTTACAATCCATGGTTATCAAAGAAATATCAAGCCCACATTAATGTTGAAGCTTGCATGTCTGTTAAGGCTGTTAAATATTTGTACAAATACATATACAAGGGTCACGACTGTGCCAATATTTTGATAAATGAACAAATTAATCATGATGAAGTAAACACTTTTTTAGACTGTCGTTATGTTAGTGCACCTGAAGCATTGTGGCGAATTTTTGAGTATCCTATAAGTCATATGTCACACACTATTATCCGTCTTAAAGTTCATCTTCCTGAGAATCAATTAGTGTATTTTAGAGAAGGAGCAGAACAAATGGCTTTAGATCGTGCGGCTCAACGTGATACACACCTTACAGCATGGTTCAAGTTAAATTCTGAAAATGAAAGAGCACATTGCTATTCATATGTAGACATTCCTTATCATTTTATATTTGATGATAAGCTTTGTAAATGGAAGGTTAGACAAAGAGGCGGTAATAAGGTGATAGTAAGAATGTATAAAGTTAATCCAAGTGGAGAATTATTTTTTCTTAGGCTGTTACTTTTGCATGCAAAAGGAGCCAAGTCTTGGGTGGATGTGCGTACTGTTAATGGTATTGTTGTTGAAACATTTCGTGAAGCATGCGTTTTAAATGGTTTGTTACAAGATGACACTGAATGGCAAAATGCACTTTCTGAGGCAGTTTTAACACGTATGCCAAAGCAAATTAGACAGTTATTTGCAATTATTTTGACTTTTTGTGAACCAGACAATCCTTTGCATCTTTGGAATACATACAAAGCATTTATGATTGAGGACTTTATTCACCGCTCAGTCCCGCTTATAATAGCTGAACAAGCTGCTCTTTGTCAAGTTGAAAAGATTATTAATCAGTGTGGTAAAACGCTGGCGGATTATAATCTTCCTGTTATTGAGTTAGATTTTAATCTAGATAATCTAGAAAATTTCAATCAAAATGTTCAACAATCAATTGATGAAGCCAATAGAATGAGACCACTGCTCAATGTCAATCAATTAAATGTATGTAATGCTATTCTTGCTGCATTGAATGAACAACCAAGTGTAGAAAATCAGCATTCTCGATTGTTTTTCATGGATGGACCGGCTGGTAGTGGAAAAACGTTTACATATAATTATTTGATTGCTGAAACCAGCAGTAGAGGTATCAAATCTGCTACAGCTGCATGGACTGGCATAGCAGCAACTCTTCTTACAAATGGATCTACATTGCATGGCTTATTCAAACTTCCTGTTCCAATATTAGATAACAGCACATGTAATGTTACTCCAAACTCTATACATGGACACTTTTTAAGTCAGGTTAGTTTGTTTTTGCTTGATGAAACATCCATGATACCCAAACATGCATTGAATGCAATTGATAGGTTATTAAAAGATGTTTGCAACAACAACTTTCCATTTGGAGGAAAAGTCATTCTTTTTGGAGGCGACTTTAGACAAATACTGCCTGTTGTGAAAAGAGGACAACCAGCTGAAGTTGTAGAAGCATGTATAAAATGTTCTTTACATTGGCAATGGGTGCAGAAGTTTAAGTTAACAGAAAATATGAGAGTACATGATGGGGAAAGGGAATTTTCAAATTGGCTGTTGAGACTTGGTAGTGGAACAGTATTTTTCAAAGAGAAAGATCCTTTTAAAGGGTGCGTTGAAATACCGCATCAATGCCTTATTAGGGAAAATGACTCCATTGTTGAAAAGATATTTGGGGATGCCGAACAAGACGATTATGCTAAACGTGTCATTTTGACACCAACTAATGTGGATTCACTATCAATCAATGAGGAAGTGCTTCAACGTCTACCGGGTGAGGTCAAAACTTATTTAAGTGCTGATCAAGTTGAGACAGACAATCTTAATGAAAGAAATAACTTTCCTGTTGAGTTTTTAAATAGCTTAACTCCCTCAGGTATGCCTCCTCATTCTTTAAAGTTTAAAATTGGTTGTATAATTATGTTACTTAGAAATTTAGATCTCAAAGCTGGGTTATGCAATGGCACTCGAATGAAAGTTTGTGCTCTTCAAAATAATTATATTGATGCAGAGGTTTTGACAGGTGTTTCTGCTGGTAAACGGGTATTTGTACCTCGAATTCAGTTGGCTCCGTCAGATTCTAATTTACCTTTTGTTCTAAAACGTCGCCAGTTTCCTGTCAGATTGGCATATTCAATGACAATTAATAAAAGTCAAGGTCAAACATTTGATAGACTTGGTGTATATCTAAAGAAACCGT